CTGCAAACGATCATGCGTTTTTCAGTCAACGATGGGATTGTTGGTCGAATCTGTTCGAAATTAATATTTGGTGGAACTTTTCCATGTTCAAATGTGATAATAGCTTTGGTAATTGAACAAGCGCCAGATGATGATTCCGTATGCCCAATATTTGATTTGACCGAACCGACTAACAATGGTTCGGTACGACCCCGACAGAATATATTGTCTAATGCTTTACACTCTTCGGGATCACCGACAAAAGTACCGGTACTATGCGCTTCAACATAGCCGACTGTAGTTGGATCCAATTGGAGATCGTCATAGAATTCCGCCAAAAGTGCCTCTTGCATTTCGCCTGATGGATATGTTATACCCTCAATTTTGTATCCATCGCAATTTGCTTTTGAATAAATTACATTCGCGTAGATACGTTTGGCATCTTTCGTTCGTTGTAAATACATCATGCAAATTGCCTCTGAACGAGTGTATCCAGATGCTTTATGGTCAAATGGACGACAGTAGCCGTCTTTCGCAATGACACCCAATCTAAAAAGAAAATCACATATTTCTTGAAAATTTCACTTTTCCGAGAAAATTTATCTACCTCTGGGGCATTACGCATCTTCACATCGATTTTTATGCTACTAACCAGCTATTTATCTCAAAATAAAAATCAATATCAATTTAAACGGGCCTTACCTGGCAAATTGAAGAGTCGTATACGGATGCAAGAGAAGATTAGTTCCTCCAACCAAAGCAGCGTCACATTCACCACTTCGAATGGCCGAAAATGCGGCATCCAATGCATACATCGAACTTGAACAGGCCGTATCCAACATAAATGATGGACCAGTTAAGCCCAAGCAGTACGAAACACGATTTGCAAGCATCGCACGGCTACATCCCGATATTCCCAAACCGCTTGATGTTATGTAAGTCGGATCATAAAAGAATGCTCTTTCCGATTCACCGAAACATGCACCAACAAAAACACCCGTTTTCGATCCACGTATCGACTTTGGGCAAACGCCTGCGTCCATAATCGCTTCGTACGCCTTTTCGATGAGCACCCGACATTGCGGGTCCATAGATTCCGTTTGCTTGTATGGAACACCGAAAAATGTTGCATCAAATTTTTCAATATTATCAATTACACCCATTCGAGCCGGGATTTCAGAGTTATAATTTGGCCATCTTTTTTCCGATGCCGTCACCATATCCACCTAAAAATAATGCGATTTTATTTTTGAGTCACAAACTTTTTTTTAAATCTTTTTTCAAGCACTTTTCACAAATTTTGGACGATTCTTTGTTCGTTTTCTCACTTCCTCACCTTATTATATAATTTGTGCGCAAATTCCGTGACATTTCTCGCACTGGGAAATTTTCCACTAACTCCACTAATAACAATTTCATCACCTGGTGTAGCTGGTCGAATACGAGCGTCCACTGTTTTCACATCATTTAGTTTCGCTTCAGCCATTTTTTACCGACTTGAAAAATCTTCCAACAAATAGATAACTTTTGTTTGGATTGTATTTATTTCCAATTTTCTTCAGATGTGAATTTTTTCACGTATCTATCAACAATTTTACTTTCACTTTTGATGAATTTCAATTCAAGCACACTTTTTTCACCGAAAAAAATTTAAAACATATTTCGTATATATCACTTAAAGCACTTTGTAAATGTATTATTGCTTCCCGCTAATAATCTATAACATTCACTATATTCTCACTCAGAAATCACTTATTTTCCTAATTTTTCAACACTTGAACTTGGAGGAACGTCCGATCGCTGACTGGGCAGCTACAACGAAATGAACTCTCTTTTATAAGAAATTTCTACGCATTTTCTATTGTGTTGAAGAATTGGTAACTTTCTGCTAGTTAAACTGTTTAATTTTCCATTTTGTTAAGAATAATTATCCGCCGTCGGTTTCCAAATTACCTCACATTTACATTTTTATCTATTGCTGAAAATGCAAATTGGGCGACACTAACGACTGTGATCATGAATATCAAACGTGTTAGAAATTGAAAATCAAATGTTAAGAAAGTCAAAATATGCAAAATAACGTTTGTAACCCACTCAACTAATTTCTAGTAGCAAGAACGAATAACTATTAAGTTTCTAACTGCCGCACTGACTCGATCATTTGACTGTTGCTATAAAAATGAACGAGATCTTGATTTGAATAGAATATATAACATGTTTGTGATTGTTGTAACTGCGCGACAAAATAATTAAATGAAAAATAGTGTTAATTCGTACATTGGGATGTAGTAAATATAAATTTAACCCAAAGGTTAGATGCATTCTTAAGCTCTCTTGCTTGAACATTTCCTTCAATAACATTGCTTGCGGTGGCGTGCAAAGCATGAGGCATGTGAGGCATTTGCCTCGGGCGGTGGTTTTCATGGGGCGGCAGTTCAAAAATCCAAATAATAATCATTTTAATTTCTATACGATCAAATTACGCACTTATTTCTCAATGTAAATTGTACATTCAAATGACTGTATGACATAAGACAATCGTGTTGAACGTCAAAGTTTTCATTATGTTTTGAAATTCAGACTCGAAATTTTGAGATTTGAGAATATTAATACCGGAAGACGTAACGACGATGAACTGTCATTGTCGATGTTGAGAACCGTATTTGGATTTTTCCAAAATTTAAACTTACATATACTTTGTTTGGAAAATCAACAATGGATCGGATTATAGTCAAAATTCAATTATTACTGTGTATAATGGAGGAAAATTTTCGGCTTGCTCCCCTCGCCCGATTTTTCCTTTTCAATTCTTCTTCTTTTCTTGATTTTTTTTTCAATTTTTCAGGCAGTTCTAATTTTTTCTTATTTTACTCTCTGGTAAGAGAATCCAATAAAAAACATATAAGATTCTACATCCGAAGCGATAACTCTTATGTCAAACACTTGTCAGCGCTAGAAGTGAGCTGTCAAACGCTTAGATGGACTACCAGTCAATCAGCAAAAGCTAATGTTTAAATCAAAACTGTAAAATTTGGATTTGTTATTTCCTCGAAAAAAAAATTGGGGCGGTATTTTGATAATTTGCCTCGTATGGCACAACAATTTTGCACGCCACCGATTGCTTCCGTAAATGAAATACGTTTTTGACACCTTATTTAGAGTACCATCGATTTGTTGGAATCAACACAGTCGTTGTATTCTTGACCTCTTGTGTGACACACAAGAACATCTAATTAACAAAACTCAAAACGAAGTTTTATACAAATAAATATATTTTTCGGCTGTTTGCTCGTTTGTTTACTAAAAAAAATATTTACTCGAAAAATCAGCTATTCAAGCAAATGTGACGTAAACGTATTAAAAAAAGAATACAAAAAAACAAAGTTTGAACAAACAAATCAATTGATTGTATTTAATTTGATTTAAGGCAGTGTGCGCAAAGTTCGTTTGGGGCTGAAAAAGTCATCGTTATAATTAAAGTAAAAAACAATTCATAAAAACAGAAGATACTAAATGTCCTAAACAATGAATGTTCACACGCCTTGAAGAGAACTATGAGCGTCTTGTAATTAGTTCAAAGCACAGTCTCATGCAGAGCATTGAGTATGCTGGCTATCCAGCCGCTGCTATTCAACAGTACTGTTCAAAAGCTAGTAGCTACTCTCCTAACTCTCCGACCGAGTGACCGATGCAATAATCGATTTTAACGTCCAACAATCGAAGTATGTTTACGAGACCAATTTGAAAGCATGAGATACCGACGAAGAGATAATTGAAATTTCGTCCAAAAAAATGAAAAAACCGTTCAAAATTTTTATAAAATCGTCCAAAAAATATTACAAAAATGAAAAAAAAATTGGTCGATTTTCTCTTTTTTTTGAACGGTTTTGAAAATAAAATTATAAAAACATCCAAATCTGTTTTCGTCTCCAACTCTGAAATTAGAATTTCGTAAAAAATTGCTCAAGAACGGGCGATGAATGAATGAGCCGATTTGTTTGTTGCATATATTTAATGTTGTGTATAAAAAGCCAGAAAAGAGAAACAATTTTAATTTATAATTGAATAATTATTGAAACGGTAGAACAATACAGTACATAACGGTAGAAAAATACACAATCGCCGATTTTTTATGATGCAATGAGCATAAAAAGATTAAAACAGATCAATAGAGAGCAATTGCATGGAATGGTTTCTCTCTCTCTCCCTCTCTTTCTCTCTCTCTCTCTAGTCTAGTTAGCACATTTTTTACAATACAATTAAAACCCATTTTCTTGGAATGTCTTTTTTTCAAATAATCGTACAGAAACCTTTATTTCAATGGTTTACAATCGAAAATAACTAGCGGTTCTCATTTTGACGTTTGAACAACGTAGAATATTGAAATTTTGACAGTAAAGGTGCCGCCAGACGATGCAAGTAAAGCGCTTGCATGCAAGTGAAAGCAAAATTGCTCGGCTGCAAGTGCTTGCACATGCACATTAAAGGTGGGAATACACCTTGGAAGTAAAATGCTTGCAGCAAACATTTTTTTCCAACGTACTTTTCTATTCGATTCTAAGAATGACACTTGCATGCAAGTAAAGGTAGTGTGATACATTAGTGTAAATTTTGGTCAATATTTATTTCCAAATGTCCACGAGGTAGGTTTATATGATCGATTTTATAAATATATTTAAATATTCAAAGAAATTCGATCATTTTATCACTGTACAATTTACTTTGTGGACGTATACACGAAAATATGGAACAGAGTTCCATGCAAGCAAAGTGCTTGCAAATGCTTGCGTGCAAGTACTTCACTTGCATACAATTTGGTCGAAATTTTTGCGCTACTGTCCACAAAGTAGAACATATAGTGCTAAAATTATCGTATTTATTCGAATATTTAAATAACTTTATAAAATCGATCATATAAACCTACCTCGTGGACGTTTGGAAAAAAAATATTGACCACAATTTACACTAATGTATTACACTACCTTTACTTGCATGCAAGTGTCATTCTTAGAATCGAATACAAAAGTACGTTGGAAAAAAAATGTTTGCTGCAAGCATTTTACTTGCAAGGTGTATTCCCACCTTTAGACTGTACGGAATTGGCTTGATTTCAAATCAACATAGCTTGTTTTATTCCTTGTGCCCAGCAGAGTATTTTGATATAAAAAATTTATTCCAAAATTATTTCTTCGCGATCAAAATTGAAAAAAAAAAAATATTAATGATTTGTAAGGTTTTACGTACGCAAGATCAGATGAAAAACCTCTAGACCACGCACAGGAGCGTCACTCCATTTTAACCTAGTCTAGAGGTTTTTCATCTGATTTGGATGTGCGTCCGTCCGTTCGTTGTTCGTGTGTCCGAAAACTTTTTAGACCCCCACAGATTCCGGTGCCGATATGCCTAAGTTGTAGCTGGTGTCGGGCCACATCGAAACCCGTCCTCAGATTGACATTTGCATTACAGGAGAGCTGGCTATGGCTTCACTAGCCTGCATGTATACGATTTTTTCAAGTATTTATTTCGCACACTAGATCAACTCAGACACCCATCGGGCAAAGTCAGCTCGTAATTATTTGAGAAGACCTTCAAAAAGGTTTATACACACATGCCAATGTTTATGTGATATAAAAGAAAAAAGTCGATTTTTATGAAAATTCGACCCCCTTAAATTTCACACCAAACGCGATTTCTCAAAAATCAGCCCTACAATGTTTTACCAAAAACTGAGAGTTTGTAGCCGGCTACCATACCAACAGAATGGCAAATGCCACATATCCGGGAAAATTCGTATTTCGAAGTTCTGGGCATAGGCAATTCATCAATGAACGGAATTTGTACGAAGAGTCGCATTCTACGATGAAATTGCTGCCAAAAATACGCATCTACTGGCTGAAAAAGGTTCACGAAAGACCATATCCGCTCAATTTTCGACGAGCAATCGATTAAAAGTGGTCACAATGCGATTTGAGGGCATTTCATGGTCGAAAAATAGGTCGGATTGAAGTGAATTTTTCAACTTGCTCTATTTTCACTGAAAATGACATTTTTGTTCGGAAAACACGTGAAATAGACCTCTGACGACATTTGGTCTTAGAAAACTGCTATTTTTTCGTGAAAATAATGGGAGTGCACGAACACTTGAATATCCATTTCGTTGTCATTTTGGTCATAAATCGGCATTTTGGCATCTGAATGTATGAAATTGAACTTTTGTTCGGGGGATACATGAAAAATGCACTTTCCAGAGCTTTGGTGGTTGGAAATTAATATGTTTCAATGAAGTAATGGGTCTAAAATTACTTCAAAACTCTTTTAATGGATATTTTGAAATTTAATCACATCTTACAATGTCCAATAAGGGGAAAATGGGACTTTTTTAATGAACGTGGAAATTTGCTATTTACAAAACTTGTGAAATGTGGATGCAAATGTTTTACCCGAAAGATTACAATTTCCCAATGATAAGACCTTAAAATAGACATATTTCTGGCAAAAGTGTATTTTTCCGAAAATAATTGCCTTACAAAATTAGTGATATCAGATGAAAAACCTCTAGACGAGGTTAAAATGGAGTGACGTTTTGATGCTGTATTACCTCTGGGTTCGAAGTTCAAAAGTGTTTTTCGCATTCATTATTGTGAAAATTAATTTAGCATAAGGAAAAATATCGCGTCACGACTTTTGGACGGCAAAACGCTTGAAAGTTTGACTTGGAGACTAAATTCAAAAGTCGTGACGCGATATTTTTCCTTATTGTAAATAAATTTTCACAATAGTGAATGCGAAAAACACTTTTGAACTTCATACCCAGAGATAATACAGCGTCAAAGCGTCACTCAAAATGATATCAGTCATTTTGAGTGGTAAATCCACGCACAGGAGCGTCACTCCATTTTAACCTCGTCTAGAGGTTTTTCATCTGATTCAATTCTCAAATATTCGGAGGGAATTTTTTTTGTCGCAATGGTTCATTTTACAATTCAATCAGCGTTGATTGGACGGACGGACGGACAAGAAAATTTCTAGCTGCTCTGAACGGACGGACGGACGGACAAAAAAAAATTCAAGAGCCCTAGACGGACGGACGGAGTGGCTAAAAAGACGGACAGTCCGTCCGTTTGACACCTTTATTTGCCGTATTCACGTCCATTTGCAAGCATTTGCATAGCGATCCTATGTTATTGTTGTTGTTTTCATGTTGCTTCGTCTCGTTCGTAGTGAGCAGTACTTGCTGAGCACGAATAAGAATGGCAACTACGCATACATCTTCTGTCATTCGTTTGTCGTATTTGCAAACATTTGCACGTTTTGTTAGGCATTGGCAATATTTCCATGTTATCTTTGAATTTGCGTCGTTCTTTCCCCCTAGATATTTACACTATCATACATTTCAACACTCTGAGTGATCGGCACATTGCGAACTGTCACATCCGTCAACACAAAATCAACCATAGAACTTTCATTCAAAGTTCAGTTTGACAGCAGCTTTGTACGTTATAACTCGGAAAGAATTAGTTACAATTGATACATCATCAGGATCAAACTGTCAAGCGCCGTACTGTCAACAACGTTGTTTTCCGCTCCGTAGAAGTTACAATACTTTCCTTGTTATTTATTGCTTTTTTTCACTTTCTTGTGATTATCACGGAGGACGGTAGTACGACAAGTGACGCACCATAGACTGTGCATTTCAAGCCAAATATCAAAAATGCCAGTTTTTGCGTCACGAGTATATATACAGTAAGTATACTATTTTCTCAGGGCACTATTTGGGCCATATACACACCATATCATCCATGCCTAAAGTGTGGTCTAGGCAAAAATATAGCGGTTGGAAAATTCCAACTTGTACAATATTTAATGTGCCCAATTCGTTGGTGTTATCGCCACATCGAAATTCGCACTCCTTATCAACTTATCATAGTTTTGAAACAGACTACATCTTGCCCGAAATTAGTTTCAAAGAGAAACGACACCAATTTGAGAAACAAAGTGCCACAAAGCAAGTTTCGGCTTTAAACTGCAACATGAATTTTAATGTTGCACTTTGTTTCTCACATTTGCTTTGTGTCGCTTTGGTTCGAAAACTTGCGTTGTTG